GAAAGATAGAGCATCAGGGTGCAAACACAGAGCCTTTAACAACAGATTAATCAATTTGTAAAATAATCATTAGTGTCAGCCCCATCAGTCAGCACATTTTTATGGATTTTGACATGAAGATCTTTGTAGGTAGAGGACTGTCACATTTCAAACCTAATCATTTTTTTTAGGAATTTATGTAATAAAGCGACAAAAAATGGTTTTCAAAATGTGTTTGATGAACATTTTAGAGGTGTGTTTGCATATGAATTTTATCCCTTTTTCTCTTATATCCCTAAATTGAGAAGTTGCTTAATAATTTATACCTGATAGATAGCACACTGAATAGAACGAGTAAAACGGCTTAACTTAAACCTTCAATCTTCCTTAAATATGATAATCTACTTTAGGTAACACAGCTGAGAGGAAACTCTGATTTATTGAGACCCTTGAGAACCTCACCTAAACAGTCCCTGGATAACATTTAGAGTGCCAGAAAAATAGCTGCCGTTTGTTAATCCCTGAGTGTTGAAGAACAGACGAGCTTGAATCGCTCTTAGACACGAGGACCCAAACGCAAACCTGACGGCATGGAGTGTCCTACAAATGAAATTCCCTCTTTGAAACGATAAAAGAAGTCTTCTTTACACACAAGCGCACTTGGACTCTTGATTGAGTTTTAATGCTCACATACAGTACAGCACAGTCAGAAGATCCCCTGGAGATCTCACAAACACAAAAGCAAACAGTTAAATACGTAGATAAAGTGTAGCACCAGCAGAGTCCCAACGGACTCCTCCAAAAATCAAACTCATGGTGATTGTTTAAAGTAAAACACCTTTGTTTGATCTCACTAGACATGTTTTACCTGTAATATCTCACAGCAGTGTCCACTTATGAAGTTTATCCAGTTAGAAAAACATCCATACTGTGCACCAAAGGTGGTATACAAAAAAGATCACTAAATTATAAATGCATTGATATAACCATTGGGATTTAACACGTAGACCTCAGGGTTTGGCAACTTTCTGTACGAACGCTAATTTTTAAATAATAAAAATATAGAAAATGAAAAATCATCTGAGAGTTTATGAAGCAGAGATATCTGGCACGTAACAATCTTGCTTTCTAAAACATAAATAGATCACACTGACAATGCCATTATCTTCATTATATACTGTGTTTATACAAGAGAGCTGCAAACTGTTATCGTTTTGCTTCGTTATAATGTTTAAATATCAAAGATATACACAAAAAAAAGACAAATCCATTAGTTTTTGCAATACAATGTGAAAAAATAGTATCAAAATGATTTTTTCTAAACCTGTGAATCAAATGCAGTGCTGTGTTTTTAATGCACCATTATTCGTTATTGATGGATGTTTAGCTCGCTAAGCACTAGTGGAGAAGATGATGAAATTATTTCTACGTAGCCGATTTGTGAGTCTTGTGGCACAAAATGTTTCAATCAGCAGCCTTTTGTTTTACTTATTAGGCTACATGTTGTGTATTTATGATTCAAATTGTCTCAGAAGTGTACATGCACCCTTCCTGGGCTTCAATATTATATCATTATGTGACACCATATTAACTTTGAGCTTTTAGCAACACGTATAAAACCCCCTTTTTTACCACAGGATAAAAAAATGACCAAATAAAAGCAACTATAGGGGTATTTAAATGGAACTGAAATGGGTAAATATCGTAGGATTTATTGTGGATTCCCTCTAACAAGGCTTAAACATGTAGACTCTCGTTAATATTCGATATATTAAATGAATCGCAGGAGACACTGCAGTTGAGAGCAAGCACAATCCCACTTTTAGATTTAAAATCAGGATCTGCACAAAATATCCCAATCTGCACATATCGCTGCAGAACAGAATGAATTACAGCTGCCTTTTCATATCAATCTCTGCCAAAAAATGAGCGCTTGGTGGGATGCTATATTCCAGGTGCTAAGCGTGCACGGTATGCAAACTACATTTTTGTTGACCTCGATCACCAAAACTGTTTCTACCTGTTTCTAGTGATGGAGAAGCTGAAGCTAAAGAGTAGAAAAGCTTAACTACCCAAAGCTTAGAAAGTTTTGGGGACACTGTGATGGAGGGAAATGCTTTCAAAGAATCAGCTAGTCCAAATATTTGAGCAGAAATGACACGCTTCTTACTATTCTGCAGGCATGGTTTTTAGTATGTCTCCATCGAACACTCAACTGTCTCTTAAAATAGTCTAAGACATGAACAACATCAAAACAGGCGTTGACTCTTTCCCAAAACAACACCTTCAAGATTTCCCAAAATGTGGGTCAGCCTAAGATCCTCTGGAGGTTTTACTGGTTAATAATATTAAGGAAATCCTTCTGAGGCCGTTAGTTTTAAGAACTGTGAACAGAGAGAATCCACAATAAAATCCAACACGTGTAACATATTGTCCATTAAAAAAAAAGCCACTCTGAGGGTCTGACCTACGGATTCCTTATTCTTTTCTTTTGCTGAAGATGCTGCAGGATCATTTATAGAGGAAGCAGGTTTAAATCCAAGGGAAAATGAAGCCAGATTACAGATTAAATTCATGTGGCATTTATGCTATTGATAAGTGACTTTGGAGATCAAGATCTGTGAAACTAGGTAAGGTAGGAATAATAAAAAGGGGGCTTTTGTGATGAAAGTATTGTGACATCATAAAATAATTGGCAAACTTCTTGAACAGGAGGTCTGTGAGCCTCTGGGAATCGTCTGCTGAGGGGTCTTACTGGCTGTTTGCAAATATACGATCAGATTCTTTGGCTGTCCAGCTGTTTGGATTTTCTCTGTTGGTTTAAATTTTCAACAGCAACTGACAGTTGATGAAGCGTCTCGACTCACACAGTAAAGAAACGACCTCTAATTGTTTCCCTTCTAACAAGCTTTTTATTTTAATCTTACTCAACATAAAATGATCAATATCTGCAGGTTTTATAAATTAAAAATAACCGTATGTTCCAAAATCACTAAAAAGACATTTTCTTTAAGACCAAATACGTAAAGTTTAGAGTGGATCTTTACTGTGTGAATCCTGAATACAACCTTTCTTTCTTCTGTTTTTTTTCCCATTGGATCACAGACCTGCTATCCCCCCCCCCCCCCTCTTGAACGTTCTACCGAACGTAGAGCCGGGCACAGTTTTCAAAACTTTGTCTGCTTTAGTTTGTCGATGTGGTAACACAGCTTCAAGGCCGGCCCGAGCTTCAGTCCGAGGTACTTCATGATCATATCGCTTTTCAGGAGCAGCAGCGCGTTTCCGTCTATTTCCTGGAAGAAGCAGAAGTTTGCATTTAAATCAGCGAGGATTATTTTGGACTCACAGAGAGCTGACAAGCCACAAAACAACTATAAGGATTTAATAAACGTTTATTAATTATATCTATACATCTCCTATTAGGCATTTCAACACTGCAACTTTAAACCACTAGGGGCGCTAGAACTGTAACTTGCAGGTTTAGGGGCTTCTGATAGTTACTGGTACTATTTGCACCTTTGCAAAATGCAACAGTTTCCCTCCCTGTTTAGGAATCTGGAGGCCGATCACTTTGGACCAGCAGACTGAGGAATTGTGGATTTAAATGTAAAGAGAAGGACGCTTTCAGCCCTCTAGATTAAATCCCTCATCAGAAAACCAAATCATGTCTGATCCGGGAAGTTTCATATCCGTTTTGTTGCCTCACAACAACTTTTAGCTTAGTTAGCTCTGCTGTTTAAAGTGAGCTCAGACTGTAGAAAAGTGGAGCTTTGGGTCGATGGATCGCATCCGCTCAAGTTACATAGATACGTTTTTGAGAATTGCAGGCCGCATGGAGAATCAATATCCGACAAGTATGATAAAAAAAAACCTGTACATTATCATTATTGTAACATTTTAAGTAAGTAGAACATTTTAGACTTTGAATGTCATTAGATGTTTCTAGATGCATGGCTTGTTTTTAAAGTTTTAAATGGACTTGCTCCTCCTCCTCTAACAGATTTTATAAGCAAAAAAAAAAAAATATTACTAGAATAAACACTAGAGCTTTAACCAGAGGAGACTGTAATGTTCAGCGGCTCGGACCAAATTTGGCCAAATGGTTGCATCCATCAGAGGCTCACAGTTATGGAACACACTGCCAGCTCATGTTAGGGGCTGTGGAACCTACAGACGTTTTAAATTCTCCTTGAAACATTGGTTGAAAACTAACCAGACGTGTTCACAGGTAAATTGATCTGTTTTATTGTTAACCTAATTTTATTGTGATTTTAAGTTATTGGCATCTTATCTGTTTGTGTCCACTCTGTTCTCTCCTGTAGCGTCTTGTTTAATGTTCACTATTCTTACAGCGGATGCAAATTAGCTGTTGTGCTAATTCTGGCATATTTCCATTGATGCTTGATGACATGCTGATGAATGTGCATTGTCCTAATTCAAATAAATAAAATAAAATAAAAAAGTACTGCATCCAGACCTGAAAATCATTTCATGTATCTCAAATTAAGCGATTGCTTAGGTCAAAGGTCACACAGTGTTTCTTTAACAAGAGCTTTTTTTTTTTTTTTAGAAAAATTGAGAGCGGAAAAAAAAGAACATCTATTTCTGTTGAGAAACAGAAAATTGCCGCTGGCATTGAAATGCTGTTCTTAAAGGAATAGTACACCCAAAACATGATTAGCCTTCATTTTCTACTCACCCCCATGCTGAACAACACTCTGGAGTACTTTTTTGATATCTCAAATGCATCTGGAGATCTGGGAGGCTTCTTGCTGTCTGCTGACATTCAAATAATGGAGGTCTATGGCGCCCGAGGCAGAAAGGTCCATAAAAGTCCACAAAAAACGTGTCAATATTCCTCCATACTGCTCGTCCAATGTAATCCAAGTGTCCTGAGTGGGTAGCATCCAGAATTTACTCGAAACGAAGTCATTTAGAACGTTTTTAGAGCCTAAACAGTAGTGTATAGGATTTCCTAATAGCGCCCCCATGCGCGCTCACGATTCTACGGAAGCCGGCAGACCAAACCGGAAGTCAGCGTCTGCTCTGCCAGTAATGCAAGCGTAGAAGAAGAAATGTGCTGTTTACCTGTGCAAAGAAAGAAACAACGAAAGAAAAATGTCTGAGGACTTCAGTGTTGAGGAAGAGCATGAGTTCTTTGCCGAGCTGAATGCGCTGACGCTGACTTCCGGTTTGGTCTGCCGGCTTCCGTAGAATCGTGAGCGCGCATGGGGGCGCTATTAGGAAATCCTATACACTACTGTTTAGGCTCTAAAAACATTCTAAATGACTTCGTTTCGAGTAAATTCTGGATGCTACCCACTCAGGACACTTGGATTACATTGGACGAGCAGTATGGAGGAATATTGACACGTTTTTGTGGACTTTTATGGACCTTTCTGTCTCGGGCGCCATAGACCTCCATTATTTGAATGTCAGCAGACAGCAAGAAGCCTCCCAGATCTCCAGATGCATTTGAGATATCAAAAAAGTACTCCAGAGTTTTGTTCAGCATGGGGGTGAGTAGAAAATGAAGGCTAATCATGTTTTGGGTGTACTATTCCTTTAAGAAATAGAATCAATAATTTACCCATTAGCAATCAAAGTCATGACATGATAAACTTATGAAACTACCTAAATGTTAAGACGTTATAAAAAAGAACTGAGAAAGCACCTTCAGAGTAAAATCACATCATTTAAGATCTAATGAAAAAGTTTCTCTCTGAAGTTGAAAGAAAAAATTTTGTGTTCTAAATAGTTAAGAAGCAAAACATCCACGTGAGCAGCCTCTGGTCCCTCGGCTCTGACCCTTCAGAACGGATCCTTTGGTCTGTAATCAGACCATCGTGTTACTGCATGATCTGAACTGTTAGAGGTGCGTTTCCCACACCTTTCTCTGCTGCTGCAAGTCAGAAATATTGTGACACGATCGTCTTGTTCAGCCTGGCTGTAGGTTTGCCTCCTGTAACTGGCCTCTGGATTTCTTGGTGGAAATAGACATCAAGAACTGATTTGGGAGCAGAACAGCAGTGATCTTCCAGACGAGGTTTCTTTCCTTCTCTGCCGTTGGTGAATGAAGACAAAACAAAACAAAACCGACTGGAACTTTTAAGATTAACCAGTGATTGGTGGCCTAGTGGTCAGGGCATCAGATCCCAGAGGTTCTGAGCTCAAGCTCCACTCCCACTAGGAGTATAAATCACATCCATCATGGCGATTCGATTCAGTATCGATTTTCTGACCCAACGATTCGATTATTTTCAATACTCAAGAATACACCATGATTCGATTCGATTCGATTAATCGGTTAAATTTTTTTTAAATTATGATTATTTTTTTACACTAAACAAAGTTTCAAGTTTGAAATAAATCAATGAAAGCTGTAATATCGTTATGCATTTTTTTTTTAGAAACAACGGCAAATAACAGAAGTAGAAAAGTTGCATCAAAAAATACTGCACAGAATCAATAGAGTGCAATACCTCGGCTCCAGACGTCCCGCCCCCCCCACAGACGCTCCGCTGCTCCTCTCTCAGATTGTAGCTGACCGCAGACAGGAGGCCGGCTTGTTTTGTTTTTATTACCGAAATTGCGGAAAACAACTCGTGAAGTTTGACCCGCTAGCAGAGCGAGGTGCGCGAGAACGCTGGGACCCTTTTTCCACCTGGATCTCCGCTCTTTTTGGCCCTCATGTCCCTCCGTCGTCGGACTAAACTCGCCCCCACTTCCTCGCCGCCTCGGCCGTATCTAGACCCACAGCGTGTAGCACAGACCACGCTTCAATATTGAGCATAAATCAAAGATGTCTGCATCAAGCTCACTGCAACACACTGCTGTAAGAGTATAACCAGGAAGTGAGGTAGGAGGGAAAAATAGGTTTAGCGCCACCGCAGCACGGGAGGGAGAATTACGCCCAGGACCAAATGGATAAAAATAGACCGGAGAAAAAAAAAAACATGAATCGATTCTCTTGCGGACGTATCGATGCATCGGATCGTCGGCTGTTGGATCGATGCATCGATACAAAACGATTATTATTTACACCCCTAACTCCCACAGACTGCCACTCTGGGTCCCTGAGCAAAGACCCTTAACCCCACACTGCTCCCTGGGCGCCGCATAATGGCCGCCTACTGCTCCCCAATGGGATGGGTTAAATGCATAGATTTCATTTTGTTTCTTTGTACTTGTGACAGTGTCATGACAATAAAGTTGAATTCTAATTCATTCTAATTGATGCAAATACCTCCTAAAATAATGCCATGGAGCGTGTCCTTAGACTATGATGGGGGTTCCTGTTGGTTCTGGGTTTTTCTGCTTTCGACAACTCACAGGATCACAGACTGCGATGCCATGCGGTGGCGGCTGTGTTCCCTCCTAACTGACTTACGTGTTTTCTGAAGATGTCAGCGTGGGGGCCTAGAGCCTGAGGATCTGCGTCTCTGATGAACCAAACAACATCATCTACAGACCAGGTGGTTGGGTCCTTATTGGCTGGAGCTTTAGATTCCTGGGATTCTGGAGGCATGCTGTATCCTCCTGTGAGAACAGAGGGAGGAGTTTCACTCTATCATGTGGATTTAAGGGTAGATTTAAATGTGAACCATCTCTAACCTGTCCTGTTTCCATCTGGAAACATGTTAGGGCTTGAGGCCGGCTGTCTGCACATAGTCATGGCGCCTGAGCTGCTGGAGAACTGCTGCGAAGAGCGAAACCCATAGGAGGACTTTGACGAGTAGGACGAGCTTATGGAGCCGAAAGCAGAATCGCCGTGGTCGACAGAGTAGCGCTTGGCTTCTGACTGGTCTCCATGATAGTCCTCAGTCATGGATGTTTCAGCTAATACCCAGATGGAGAGTCATAGAAAGACAGGATGAGTGCAGAATCGGTGCATCTTGTTTATAACTTCTACTCTTAGAGGCAAAAAAAAAACGATACCATCTGACTGATAGGATCCACCGCTGCGCTGGCTAATGGGCTGATCGCTGAAGAGGTTTTCACAGTGCAGGCTGCGACAAAGCTTCTTGAGAAAACGAAGCACATAGTCGATGCTGTTCACCACAGGGAGGCTCAGAAGATGCTGCTTCCCATCAAATGTGGCTGGAAGAGCAAAACGACACCAGATTACACTTTATTTATTACAAATCATGAAACGTCTACCCAGCTTAATATTTTATTCCCCCTGTAAACCTAATCTCAAATTACGTGTTTAGAAAGTTAAATAAACAAGCAGAGAACAACACCTGGTCGAGGTCTTGGTACAGCACCTGATATCTTTTCTCCTCCGTAGCCTTGCGTGAGAAGAGTGAACACGTTTTTTTGCTGGAAGGCGCTGTCGATGCAGCCCTGGACGGCCTGCTGCAGCACCACCGACGGTCTGTCGGGTCCGAAGTGATCAGGAAGCTGCTGGATCTTCTTCCTGTCCAGGTTGGGGCCGGTGTGGGCCTGCTTGTTGATGTAGATGCAAACTGAAACCAAAAAGAGGAAAGATGACACCTTGGATTGGTTTTTCTTTTGACCACTTATGTTTGTTTTTCCTCTCTTCAAGTTATGGATGTACAGAACCCTGAAAAGGTACTATTTTTCACATTTTTTCATTGTAAATAACATCGCTTTAAGGTCATTGGGATTGTCAGATAAAATATAAATATCTGAATAAAATAAAGTCACAGGTATAGTGGGGGATTTTTGCGAACTTTTGAAAAAACCTGTCCTCTTCCCTTAAAAAATGCACATACAGAATCCTGTACCCGCTCCTGAGAGGGAACGCCTTTTAAATGTGTGAGAGCGTGCACGAGCCCATTTCTCCTCGTGCACTCTCTGATTAAAAGTTGCTGTTTGCATCGCTCATACTAGCTTACTTTCCAGAAGGTTTGCAGTTTTTCCACCATTTCAGACTCACCACCGGTAGTGAAAATGGGGACGAGCACGAAGGACGGCCTTATGTAAACACATCACCAAAATGATTGACAATTAGGAGGACCACTTATTTCGATGATCCACCCAGAAGAAGAACATCCTCCACTATACCTTTAAGGTTTACGGTTATAAATTAAAGTTCATCTGTACCTTTTCAAGGTGGCTTATCTTTTCTTTTACCTGTTAGCACCTGAGCGGTGGCAGAATGTGGGATGGTTGCAGCGTCCTGAGGAATAGAGCTCATATCAGGCTCAGGGGTGCTGCTGGGTGGAGAAATTGCCAAAGGGGTCATCACCATCCGAGGTTTGAGCTGCAGAAGAACAGGTTTTAGAATCTATTCTTAACCGAGCCGCAGGAGGTGGAGCAGTCAGAAAATTTATTTTCCGATTCTGTCGTTGGATTCTGGATTCTTTTTGGTCTGGCATGGACTTATCTGCAAGATCGACTACAGAACCAAGTTTATGTTTAAACAAAAAGGATATTTTTAACCTTTAGAGAACCAACAAGAAGAAAAGAGCTGGTTGTGCTCACTATTGCTCTTCCAGGTCTGTGGACTATCTAAATCCCCTTTGATTGACTCATCTTTACTCTGCAGGTTTCATCCCAGCAGCAGCTTAGAATAAAAACACATTTTTATTGTTAAAATCTCTTCATTTTTTTTATCTGTGCTACTTTATTGAGGGATCTCTGGGGAGAAGATCCCTCTAGAAAATACATCTGTGGATAAATGAGGCAAATATGAATAAATAAAGAGGAAATAAATAAAAAAACAAACAAATATAAATTCATTTATGACTAGTTTTTCATTATCTTATCATCTCGCTATCCCATTTAGTAGTTTATGTGAGTAAATGATTTTTTTTTCTTTAATAAAGTAGGAAAGGGAAAAAAAACATTGATTTAATGGTTATATGACAGTTTTTTATTTTTAGAGTAGGAAATGGAAATTGCAAAATTTGAGGTTTAACAGAAAGATTTATCTGAGCTTCTTTTAATCCCTGATTGCTCAGGCTGGAATAAAACACCAAATCCTTTCTAGATAGGATCTTCATTTCTCATTAACAAATTTAATACCTTTTTTCAATATTTTCTTGATAGGTTTATCAATGTATTTTTCTTTTAGATTTTTTGTTTAACCTAAATTCTCACTTCTGCATTTAAAGAAAATTTAAAGCTACAGTGTGTAACTTTCAGCGACATCTAGCGGTCAGACTGCAGACTGCAGCAACATGAAC